CCTGCCGTACCCGCGTACCTTGCAGCAGGAACAATCACTACCGCGGCGTGAGTGGCTTGGATGGGTGACCAGTCACAGTCACCTTACGGTCATGTCACGTCCACGCATCAGCGCTACTCTCGTTGCTCATAGCGCTCCTCAAGAAGTTACAAAAAGGCGCTGAACTCAAGCACATTGCTCCTCCGTGCGGCGCCCCCCATCCGCGCACTCGCGACTCGCAAGCAGGGCCATGAGCTCCCGTCTCGCTCACCACTACGGTATTACAACGACATCGACTTTCAGAGCGCATCTCTCGTGTCAGTGCATCACAATGCCAGCACGACCCACTAGCACCAAGGCGAGCGGAGTGGTGTCTACCCCTCTACCCATCTCCGCCCCTCCCTTTTACGCTTCCAAGCCTCACCATGTGCAGCCCTCTGAATCAGGCTTGCCCAAATCCTTCGTCTCGCCTTGGAAATCTGCTGCGAATCACCAGATGATGGACTTTCTCAAAGCTAGATTCTTGGACTGGGACGAAGAACCTGCCTTGCCTGCCAATCTGGACATTGTCAAGGAGGTGGATTGGAAAGCGACGCTTGCCATCGGTAGCGATCAAACTGCAGTCGTATGGCTCGGGTACGTCTTCAAGCTCCCACGCTGCGTCTTTGTGCCCACGACTGACGCCGCCTGTGAAACTCTTTAGCCACGCTTGTGGTCTCTACCTGCTGCCCGTCCCTTCAACACACGCGGCGCCCACAAAGCACATTCGCGTGCTTACAGATCCCGTCTTTAGTCTTAGATGTTCTCCTTCCCAATGGCTGGGACCCAAGCGATTCACTCCTGCTCCTACTTCCATTCAAGCGATCAAAGACAATGGGGCATGGCCACACGTCGTGGCCCTGAGCCAGTGAGAAGAATGAGAGCGTGACGCTGGTGCGGCGCGCTAATTCTTGTTGTCCTCCGCGTGCAGCAATCACTACGACCATCTGGACGATGCTACGCTTCGAAGCATCGTGAGGCTGTCGGATGAACAGCACCCGCTGCCTGTATGTCCTCGAGCACCACACTAGCTGGTGCCAGACGCTGCTCACAAATGTCGTCGTTGACGCCCGCAGCATTTCATAGCGCCGCTAGGACTCGTTCCGTTGCTAGAGTCCCTAGGCATTCCGCAAGCACATCACACCAGCCTGGACTGGTGGCAAGCCGTCTCTCTGTCCCTGCCACTGAGCGCCGATTCGTCCGAGGTCAGAGGGCAGCTCAAAGCGACTTGCACACCAGCACAGCATCAATCAGGCAGATCCACGTTTGACCAGAAAAAGACCCTCTGGGCTGGCTGGGCCTTGGACAGCAGAAATGAACAGGCAGGCTCTGGTGGTGCGAATGTGTGGTTCGCAGGTGATGTTAGTCAGTCCCGGCTGTACTGCCTCATGTGATCATCACCTGACGCCTTGGTCGTGATACGCCTTCGGCAGACGGGCCTCCGTGCAGTTCCTAGACGCAACATGTCCAGAGAGGAGGAGGATGCGCTTCCGGTCTGTCCTGTAAGTCCCACGCCTCACGATTTGCCGTGCCTTTCGCCATTCACACCCGCTCTGCCCGCAGGCCTTTGAGGAGGTCGGAGAGCTGTTGGGACCTTTCGATCTCTCCATGATTCCCATCGGTGCTTATTTGCCGCGCATCTTTATGAGCAGCATTCACGTGAGTGCAAACACGCAAAAGTGTAGGTGGGGCACACGCGTTCAAATCGCTTCCCCTGACGTCGAGCAACGATGCCCAACTCTTTGTCCCCCCTCCCCCGCAGATGGCTCCTCACGATGCCGTGTTTGTGCATCAAAAAGTCAAGAGCCGCAAATCGGTCGGCATACATTGGGTTAGTATGGCGGGGGGGCAACAGTCCGAACGAAGCGCTGCGATCTGACATCCATGCTGCTCCCCCCCTCCGACGCCGCGCAAGGGAGCTTGGAGACTGACGCCTGAAGACGTGCTGCAGCCGCCGCGGTTGCTTGTAGAAGAGACGGATAAGGTAGGCTTGCCCAGGGACAGCTTCTTCACCACAAAGATCGGAGAGACAACCACAGCTCAGGTGCAAGAGCCATAGCAATACCAACGTATAGGTCTCGATGCACGATCAGTCCAACTTTGTTTCGCCTGCCCGTCACGTCATCCCTCGTTGTGAGCCGAGAGCATAGGTATTGCATAGATACATGTACTGCGATCCAGAGGTCTCCCACGAGTGTGCTGCGCATCCGCTCTCTCGACGTGCGGCCACCTACCTGCTCAAGCCTTGATCCTCTTCCTGGCTGCGCCAGAAATGGTCATCTCAGCAGATGCGCCTCCTGCCTTGGCGTTCATGGCTTTGGCCATTGGGCGAGTGGCAGAGCCGTTTGCGAGGCTGATTGCGGCCGTTGGCCCGAGTATCTGACGCTTCGGCATCTTGCCTGTAGGGGCTATCCTGAAGCGCTGTCGCTCTTGCTCATCGTCCGAAAGAGCTACTTCTCCATCCTCTGCTCGATCTTCAGCTTCGCTCGCCACATCTCCGTTTTCTGTGGCCTCTGCGAACCCATTCAGCTCTCGACGAGGTGCGTCAGATCGCGCCCTCCATCTTCCTCGATTGCGCATGAGTTCCCTATACCATGGTTGCAGAAGCCCAATTTGTGCCGAGACTGCGCTTTCCGTGAGCGGCACATATGCCTGCGGGGGCGAGTACTGCAAAGTATCCTCGTTGGGCCCACTGAGGTTGCGCAGTGGGTCAGCGAGTGCGCAATCAGCGCAGCCAGTCACATCCCCGACTCACCCCTGGGTAACATCCGCACGTTTGGCCTTTTGCACGTCCTTTGCGAGGAACAATTTGCGCGGGACTGACAGGCCAGACATGCCCGTCTCTGCTTCGATGCCCATCGCCTTGAAGCCGAAAAAGTCGTCGCCGAGTTCGTCGGCAAATGCGCCACTGAAGGGCCGTGAAGAAGGGAAGCTGAGTCGACTGCTGTGCGGACGTCGAAGCGCATCAGAGATCACATACCTGACAAGGGTATCATTCTCCGGCGCGAAAAAGGCATCGTCGCCCATTGGCACAGCGCTTGCCTGCGGGGCGCAGGAACAATAATTCGGTCAGGCAAATCAGCAAGCGCGAGGCAAGCGCGGGGCAAGCGCAAGGCACAGCAAGCGCGAGAGCAGCTTACATTCAGGCAATCTTTGTAGGCGGCGCGGTTGCGGCGAAGCAGATCCTTGAGGCGCACCCCATAGCGCTCGACG